TCTCTATCCATGACATTTCAGTCTATTCCACACTCGGTTCCTATATATTTACAATCCTATATATAATCGCACTGTATAAAGCTTTGAAAGCTGGAACCTCGTACATTATCTCTTTCTTTCCTGGATCTCTAGCTTCACCAACAAATTAATCCTTTCACTCCTCTTCTGAGACATGTGAGTGGCAAATGAATTTTCCTTTGGCACTTGGAGATATGGATCTTAACCAGAAATATTTTTGGAATAAAGATTCTTTTTCGTGTGTTTTTATTTTTTTTTTAATTGTGGTTAAAGACACAAGGGGAAAAATTACCATTGTAACCATTTTAGAGTATATGATTTGGTGGCATCAAGTATATTCACATTGCTTGCTAGCATCACCACCTCCATCCACAGGGAATTAGAATTATTATTTTCTATTCCATGCTGCTATCACCATCGGATAACTCTGCTGCCCTAAAATGTTTAGCTATAAGATGAAAAATGAGACTTCAGTTGCCCTGGAGAAACTTTGTCTCTTAGGACTGGACAACTGAGTATTAAAAAGGTTCCAATGCATTTATGTGACATGGTAGCCAGAATGAGTGTCTTTTTTTCCTCCTTTTCTTTAAACAGCTCTGAGCAGCGGGTCCCCTGTTCCACTTCTTACCACAGCTCTGGTTTGCACTCGGGTGATGGCGTCACAAAAGCAGGACCTCTGGGCCTTCCGGAAATAAGACAAGTGCCAACTGTTGTGATTGAATGTGATGACAATAAAGAAAATGTGCCTCATGAATCAGACTACGAAGACTCTTCTTGCCTATACACAAGAGAAGAGGAGGAGGAAGATGAGGATGATGATGGCTCATTGTATACCAGTGAGTGCCTCCAAACTCTTCAATGAGCGGGGAGAGGTGTGGTTTATGGAAAGAGCGCTGATGGAGCCATCCAACACTCTGGTTCTAATCCAGAGTCTGGTGTCAACTGGTTCAGGGTCAATTAACCCTCAGGGCCTCAATTTCTTCTTTGATAAAATGAAAGTGTAAATGTCCTCTAAACATCCTCATATCTCTAAAAATTGTACCACCATGCTACCACCTGCTATTTTCAAGAGGGCTCTTTCATTGATTGCTTCCTTTAAGATGCAACCCCCTTCCTTGAAAAAGGAAGTGGGGACCCTAAATTTCAATTCCAGTCTACATAATACTCAGACATACTCACCATTGTGTATGCAACGAATTAATTTTAAGCAGACTTCAACAACTTTAGAAGGCCTGAATGTAAGACCTTAAATGCGCTAAGACACAAGAGAAGAAATGAAGAATACAAAGTTCAAAATCTGTCCTTTGCGACGTGAATAAGAAATAAGTTTTAGTTAGGTGATTAGAGACTACTATTTGGTCAACTTTGTAATAATTTATATTAAATACGTTTCACTGATATATACTGTGCGCCAGACCGAGTGCTAAGATCTTACTCGCTCCTCTACATTTTACAACATCCGGTGGCATAGACACTATTGCCCCAATTCACAGAGAGGAGAAGAAAAGGGAGAGGTAAGTAAGTGACTTGCCCAGAGCCTCACATTTACTAAGTGGCAGTGCTGGGGTTTGGTGCCAGCTGACTCATTCCAAAGCCCATGTCCTAAAACCAGTGGAGGAAGAAGGAGGGCTAGCATTACTAAATAAAACCAGAGGGATCCCCCAAACTTGCTCCTTCCCTGTCTCTTCCTCTCTCTTGGTAGGAGTTCTGGTGACCAATGGAATGATCAAAATAGTGTCAAGGAGAGAGCCTGTGGCTACAGGCCCAAATGATCCATAAGTAGAAGGAGCAGCTGATCAGTCCTTGAGCACTGTTTTCTGCACAGAGAGTTCAGTGTTTTATACCAAAGTGTCTCAACCTTGGCATTATTGACATTTTGGACCAGACAATCCTTTGTTGTATGCAGGAGGGAGGGGACTGTCCTCTGCACTGTTGAATATTTAATAGCATCGCTGCCCTCTGCCCACTTGGTGCCAGGAGCACCTTCCCCACCACCTGAAACCCCAGTTTTGACCACCAAAAATGTCTCTAGACTTTTCTAAGTGTCCTCTGGGAGGGAAGATCACCCCTGGTTGAGAACCATGGATTTATTCCAGTTGGAAGGAAGCCCTGCCCTGGCTGGCTGCTCAGAAACTCTGCTGTTGAAAAGAAAAAACAATCCCAGAATATTGCCTATTTCAATGACCTCACTTCTGCTCCCACCCCCAAACGAACCAAACATTGCCCAACTTTACTTTTCTTCACATTTCCACAGCACCACTGTCACTGATCTCCTTTGTCTCCTGTGATTTTCTGGCTTATCCTTCACCTCTGAGCTTTCCCACATTTAGACATCCACCAACCTGCTGCCTGTTTGCATCTCATCTGTCTTGAAGGTGCCAGCCCCTCCTCTGTGAAGCTTCCCATGGTTACTAAAGGCCTCTGTCCTCTCTTCCTGCTTTGTATTCTATTGCATTCCAGTCTGTCCTGCCCTCCTTTGTGACGTTACCCGCATGCTAGGAGTTCCTGGAGAGCAGAGATCCAATCACACGTTCCCCACGTGCTCCTCACATGCTCAGCACACTGCTAGGTAAATAGAACATATCGAGTATGGGAACTCTATCAAAGTGTCCTTTGGGGCCTTAAGCAGTCTCATGTATTAAGCCTATTGTCTTCCTGCCTTTACCTTGTGGCCCACAGTTGGTCCTGTGGGAACCTGGGCATCTGTGTGTGAGTGTTATTAACTCGTTTCTCCCTCCTGCAGGCTCCCTGGCTATGAAAGTGTGCAGGAAGGACTCCTTAGCCATCAAACTCAGCAACAGGCCCTCCAAGCGAGAGCTAGAAGAAAAGAACATCCTTCCCAGACAGACAGATGAAGAGAGACTGGAGCTGAGGCAGCAGATCGGCACCAAGCTCACCAGGTAGGACAGCTGAACCACCGGCTCTACAGATTTGGGTAGAAGAATTCAGTCTCCATCCCTAGATCAGTCCTGGATATCTCTTAAAGAACTTTTCTTGCAGGAAAAGTCAGTGGAAAACATTCCATTTCTTTTCCAGGGTTGTTTCTATAGTCCCCTCCCTTTAACTTATCCAAATCTAGACAATTTCCCTTGATTAGAGGTTCGGGGAGAACTTGAGAGGCAGGTTTCCACGGAGAAGATCCACCTGTAGAAAAAAATGCTGCAGTCCAATAGAATTAAGGGCTTGTATACACAGGAGTTGTGGTTTGGCTAAACACAGAACAGTCAAATAAATACTTTCTGCTATACTATGCCACCAGAAGAGATCAGTGGTTGTTAATGATGCCTCATTACTAAACTGTGGCTCTTCTTGAGTGTTTGCCCTTTGTGTATGGATATTACAGACATAAGTGTAGACTACGTAATACACTAAACATTTGTATACGTGTATTTATAATCTAGGGCGTGTTTATACGGTATTAGCTAACATTTGTGGAGCACTTATTATTTTCCAGGCATCCTTCTAAAATAGTTTACATACATTAAATCACTTAATCTTTTAGCTTCTCTATGAAATGGACATTTTGTATCGACTTCACAGCTCAGAATACCAGGTGTAGAGAACTTTCATTACCTGTGTACGTCACACAGAATGACTCCAGAGCGCTCCCTCTTGACCACCATGTTGCTCTGCCTCTCTGTAATAATAGTCACCACATGGGCCCTCACTTTGTCCCAAGCACTGTGCTAAGTGTTTGGGTGCAATGTGTAAACATCTTCCAGGTTTCATCCTACTCTCCCTCTTCCTAACTATGTAGTCTTGAGTAATTCACTTATTCTCCTTGGCTACATTTCTGCATTTGTAATATGAGGAGTTGCGAGAATTAAACAATATAAGGAAAGCGTTTAAAACAGTCTGTGTCCCATAGTAAACACTCAGTTATCTTTTGTTATTATTTCATTATTTCTTCTCCCATCAACTCCATCAAGTAGCTTTCATTATCATCTTCATGAGTATGAGTGAGGAAACCGGAGCCTAAAGAGGTTATGGAGGCACCGACATCATCCAATGGTGCACTGCTCTTCTTCCCTCCCTCCTGATTTATTTTGTTACTTAAGGGCAGCTTCTTTCTCATAATTAACTTGGTTTCCTCCTAGAGGATGTTATTTTAATGAGACAGGGCTACAAAAAATGGTCGACAGTGGATGATTTGTCCTTGCATTATGCAGTCTGTAGAGTCATAGAATGAAAAAATATGTAACCACATTTCTGCCACTTCTCCCATATCTCACCTAGATAACTCTCTAGAGAAGACAGGCATATGTGATTCTGGTTTCCTTGCCCCTCATCCAGCCCTTTTAGGTCCACTCGAGAGACAGAGAGAGAGAGACAGAGAGAGAATGAGGTACACAACCATACTTTGATTATCTGGATCTTTCTTGATACCTCAATGATAGTTACTCACAGCACTCTGGGGAGCCTGTCCCATTGTTGGAGAGCCTGATTGTTAAATATTCTTCCTTCTATTAAACTGAACTCTCTGTCCATGCAACTCCCACCCACAAGTTTTATTATCTTCCTTCTACAGCTACTCAAAGCTTCGTCCCTCTTCATATGCATGGTGTAGGGTACTTGGCTTCCTCAAGCCTCCTCTCCTGGGCTACATATAGCTAGGTCTTCTCTGTGGGGTTGGGTGGGGTGGGTGAATATAGTTATAGGCTGCTTCTTGACCAGCTTGTTTAATTTTACACCTAAAATAAGCAGGGCTGTTTTCAGGGTGACTAGGAAAAAGAGAAGGAGCAGATCCTTTACTTCAGCCCCTCTTCTCAAAGTTTAGCTCCACCACTATCACCACCTCAAGAGTGGGCATTCTTTGTCATATTTCTCTGAACTCAATTCCCATTTCTCTAGCTTTGCTACAGTGCAAGCAGAGTCCCAGGTATGTAGGAAAAATGGAAGACTTTTCTGCAGGTGTGAGATGCCTAAGGTGGCATCTTCTGTGGAGAGAGAGAAAAAGATGGAAGATATATAGAGTGGATGTGTATAGCTGATACAGATGTATGCAGCTGGCCATTCATTCTGTTTGTTCACTATAGAGTTATTCCACCTGGAGGTAATTGACAAAGTCAAAAAGTTTTTTGTTGTCCCAGAATATACTCCAGAAAAGAGAGACAGCCCCCAGCTTCTCATTCCTGAATTCATATTCACATACCACCACCATGCCCAGCTGGCAGTGGTAGTGACAAAACTCAGAGGTGGGAGGAGACATAGAACATCCATGCACTGGAAAAAGTTTTCTGCATTTGAAGGCTTACCCTTGTAAAGCAACCCTTTCTCAACCTTTCTTCTTCTAACAGCACTTCAATACTGCTTAGAATTCATAAAATCCACTGAAGCTTTACCATGGTACACATCTATTTCCAACTCTTTCTTACCCTGGTCTTTAGAAAGAGACACTCTGATTAGGGAATGATAGTTGCATGTTCGAGGTCAGCTGGCCTACATCCTTGCTCTGAGTTTACTTCATCTTTGTATATTCTTTCTTCTAGAGGTTTATTCCCTCATAGCAAGAACCCTTGGCATCTCTAGCCAGATTATAGAAACTGGGCCTGAAAGAGAGGATGCCAGGAGTGTTTAGCAGGTTGACAAGGTTGTACAGAGTTCAGAAAATCAGGCGGATGGGCCAAATCTGCACCTCGAGGCCTTCTTTGAGATAGGCCTTCTTTGCAGCCACTGATTCACATTCAAGGGCTTTTAAGGACCATTCCCTTTAGAATAAAATCCCAGCTTTGTGCTTCCAGCCACTCATTTATCCTTAAGCCAGGGCAGATGAAGGGATAATCTGAGAACCAGAAGGTGACAGTGGTGGAGAGAGAACTAATCTGTGGTTAGGGCCCTGAACTCCAGCTCTGGTTCTGCTCTTTCCTAAGTAGTCATTTGCCCTCCCTGGGCCTTCATGGCCTAATCCAAAGGGATTAGATTTGGTCATCTGATCACTTCATTACTGTAAAAAGTAACTAAAAGAATGTAAAAGTCTGTTGTAAAGTCTGCATTACTGAAGCTATGAGGCTGTGGCATTCTTTGGCTATTTGTGGTAGCAAAAATGGGCTTGAAATCTTAAATTCTTTGAAAAGCATGTTGTCAAGTCTGTAGTCCTCATGGAGTAAGCAAGATATGAAACATAATTTTAGCCTGACAAGTTTCATAGCATTAAAACAAATTCAGCACTCCAAGAATAATCCCAAAATGGAAGTGAGGAGCAGAAATGTCAAGCAAAATGGTGTCAAGCTTTAAGGCAGAGTTTCTACATAAGAACACAAAAATATTGTTCTTCCTAAATGTTTTCTCATTGATGCTATTGGGCAGACTCTCCTAAACCTCAGTCAACAAGTCATCTGGATGTTTTAAAAGTAAATAACTATTTCAATCACTCCATTTAAGAAGTGTGGGCTGCCCTTGAGATATGAACGTGATCGACTGGGTGCATATTGCTCTGCTCCTTGTGGATACAGCAGTCCCCCCTTATCTGCAATTTTGCTTTCACAGTTATACCTATCCATAGTCAACCACAGTCAGAAAATATTAAACAGAAAATTTCAGAAATAAACAAGTCATAAGTTTTAAATTGTATGCCCTGCTGATTACCGTGATGAAATCTCAGGCCATCCCGCTCTGTCCTGTGTAGGTCATGAATTGTGCCTTTGTCCGGTGTATCTACACTGTATTTGCTACCCACCCCATTAGTCACTTAGTAGCCAACTCAGTTATCAGATCAACTACCAAAGTATCGCAGTGCTTGTGTTCAAGTAGCCCTTGTTTTAGTTACTCGTGGCCTCACAGCACAAGAGGAGTGATGCTAGCAATTCAGCTACGCCAAAGAGAAGCCATAAAGTGCTTCCTTTGGGTGAAAAGGTGTGTACCCTACAAGATATTTTGAGAGAGAGAGGGGGACCACATTCACATAACTTTTATTATTGTACATTGTTATACTCTTTCTAGTTTATCATTAATTATTGTTGTTAATCTCTTATTGTAAGAATTATAAATTTATAAATTAAACTTTATCATAGGTATGTATGTATAGGAAAAAACAAAGTATTAACGGTATAGGGTTCAGTGCTATCCATGGTTTCAGGTGTCCACTAAGAGTCTTGGAACATGTCCCCCGCAGATAAGAGGAGACTACTGTACAGACTCATGATAGGTGCAGACTGAGGGATGAACAAGGCCATCTACTCAGGCATGGGGGAGATGAAAATTATAGACTTATTTTATTTTATATCATTCTTTTTAAGTTGATTGTGCCTCTATTATAATGTGCATGGGATATTAGTGCCGTGGCAGTCGTATATAACTTCTAAATAAAGAAATGGCACATGTGGGGCATGTACTTAGATTTTTATTGATGGAGTCTTCAAAAAGCTTTGAGTCCACAGGTTTAAGGGCCTTTCTCAGGGGCATGTGAGCAAGTCTTTTCAACTCCAGTGACCTCTAGTCAGTAAAATGTGGGGACCTCAGAACAATCCCTGCAATCCATACCCCACAAATATAAGGGCATGCCACTCGCTCTCCAGGTGTCCTCTCAGGACCGTTCAACCTGAACCCTAGGAAGTAGTCAGCCTAAATGTGTGATCTTAACTATCAGATCCACTTCTAGTTCTCTTTATTTACCAAGACTTTTATTCTCCCAAGAGTCATATTTAATCCACATGACTCCACTTTATTTATTTGAAATCCATTTTACCACCCCCTCCCCCTCCTCAAAAAATATCATCATTTAAAAAATTAGACATAGAGCCATGATTCTCAATGTCTGGAGTTAGGGTGACCTGTCAGGGTGATCACTTGATCAGCCAGGGCAGCACCTTCTGGCCCTTGTCCACTTTCCAGCTTGGGACATTGATTGGTTGAAGAAGTGAACCCCCACCCCACAGAGGATGGAGCTCAGGACCACTGAGAA